GATGCAGTCACTGTTCGCCCGTACGTCGAGCAGCCCCGCATGCAGGAATGGGCCGATGCTGGCGTGCTCCTCGATGGGCGGGCGCTGCTGAGGTGGTGGTGGTGGTAGCGGACGCTCTTCAGCGGGTGGCCTCGGCACGAAGCTCATGTCCTGAAAACTGAGGTCGCCGAACGGCGAGAGGGTAGGCTCCTCTGGCGTTGGCATCGACGATGTATGAGACCTCTCTCCAAATCCCACCTCGGCCAGCTCCTCGAGGTACGGCGGTAGTTCGGGATGTGGGAGCTCGTACTGGCTAGGTAGAAGCCGGAGTATGTCTGCCTCCAGTTGCTCCCTCTGGTACGTGCCCTCCTGCTCCGCCATGCCTTGGTCACGCTCAATCGTGACTGGGTCTTCCATGAGGTCGTCCGTCATGTCGAGTAGCAGGTCCTCGTCCACTTGTCCTCCTGCTCCCCAGGCGTCCCGCAGGGCGTTCTGGAGTCCTGCCGTTTGCATATCATGTGCGCGTTGGAGGTCTTGTAGTTGCCGCTGCCTCTGTGCGTCGCTCATGTACTGGATGTGGGCGTAGTGCTGCGCCGCGGCCTGCATCTCCTTCTGGTGCTCGTGCTGCAGAGTGCTGTGGTACTGCTGAGACACGTGGTTCTCCAACTCCTGCTGGTGCTGTAATGCCTGGAGCTCGCTCGTGGCTGCTGCTTGGCGCTGCAGTGCCACCTCCTCCATCCTTTGAGCTTTGTCCACCGCCTCCTGGTGCTCCCCGACGCGCTCCAAGTACTTTTCCTGCTCGTGCTGCATCTCGTATGCCTTCGCCTGGATGGCTGCGTGCTCCAGGTTCAGGACGACCCGCATCGCTTCGCGCCTGTTGGCCTCTTCCTGGTGCTCGTAGGCCATCTGCTGGTAGTTCACTGCGATCTGCAGCTCCTCCTCCTTGTAAGCGCTGCGCCGGGCGCATCGCTCCTGGTATTCCGCCTCCGCCATCTCCTGCGTCGCCTTTTCATTGTGCTCCTGCGCCATCTTGTGCCACTGGGCCTCCTGAGCCGCCATCTGTCTCACAGCCTGCTCCTCCTGCCTGGCCTTCTGGACCTGCTGCGTGTAGATGGCTGCTCTTCTCTGGTCTTCCTTGTGCATCTCCTCGCGTAGTGTCTTCTTTTCCAACTCGAGGTGCATTTGCAAGTCCACGAGCATCCCTTTGGCCCTTTCCTCCTGTGTCCTCTGGCTGCCTCTCTGCGCCTCGTATGCTTTCGCTTCCTCCTCCTCCAGCTTGGCGTTGTGGTGTCGCTTGAGCGCGTTGACCTTCCATGTGTGCCACTCCTCCTGCTTGGCCAGCTGCGCTTCGGTCGTGTGGATCATCTTTTGCGCCATGGTCTGCTCGTAGGCCTTCAGCTCGCTTTTGTGCTTAAGCTCTGCCTGTGCCAGCAGGTCACTTTGCTGCTGTTCCTTTTTCTGCTGCGAGTCGAGCCTCTCGGTCAATTTCCTGATGGCGTCTTTGATCTCGTCTGGTGCTGCTGGGGCTGATCGTGCAGTTGTTGCTGGTCCCGAGGAGGCACTCGCTGCTATGCCTGGCTGAGCTGTGGCTGGTGCCGCTAGTGCTGCAGCTGGGTCGCGCCTCCTCCTCGCAGCCGGGTGTGGCGTGCGTCCTCTGGTGGGTTCCTGGCTCCCCTCCTCCTCTGACGATTCCTCCTTCACACCCGCTGTCTTTGCCATCTGATCTCTAGTTTCCCTCAGCAGGGTCTTGTAGACCCTGATGGTTCTGGCGGCCGCCGCCTCCTGGTCGAGCATCTTGCTGAGCCGCTTCTCCATCTCGGTGTGCTCCTCCTCCAGCTTTTCCAGCGTAGCCCTGAGCTGCTTCATGCGCTCTTTGTGGGGCAAGACGAAGGAGATGTTCGTGGCGGTGATCGCCGCTTCCTGCTTGAGGCTTGATGTGCACAAACCCGCCAGCCTAGCGCCAGCAATGTTCTCGGAGAGGCGTCCCAGCCTGTGGCACTTCGTCTTGTACCACACGAACCGCATTTCCTCGTCGTCTGGTGGTGCGGACCAGCTCTCATGCTCCATCGCAACGGCGAAGGAGACTGGCGTGATGCTGTCCAGGACTGCCTTCTGCTGCGGGCTGTACTGGAAGCTGCCGATGTAGGCTGAGGCTGGAGCGTCGTGCTGGTCCCTCCTTCTGCGCCTGCTGCTCCTCCTTCTGGCAGAGGCGCTCCTCCATGGCGCACTGTGCTTCAGTGCTGGGCGCTGTCGCTTCGCTGCTGGTGCTGTGGGTGCTTTTGCTGGTGCTGGTGGTGGGCTGGCTGGTGGTGGTGCTTGTGGGTCTGAGGCTGCTGCTGCTGCTGCTGCTGCTGGCTGTGCTGCCGCCTCTGCGCGTTGTGCTGCTGGCCATCCCGAAGGGCCCACTCCCAGGGTCGCCCTCCGATGGCTCCGTAGTCACCAGTCCAGTCACTGGCACTTCTGCTGCGCCTGCGCTGGTGCTGCGCCTGGGCTGTGGACCCTGCTCCTGTCCACCTTTTCC